TCCATAGCCACATTCCCGTGGTCTCTGAGGCAGCCAGGAGTGAGCATTTCACCCACCAGTTCTGGCCGTGTGGAGTACAAGGAAGGCACTTGGAAAGATGCTTCCCAATATAACCTAAGCACAACAAAATGAGGGACTTTCCTCTTGCCTCTAGGTTAGGGCTGGGGGAATGAGGGCAGCTTAAATGCTGGTATTGTGGACGTTACCAGGTTTAGACTTGCTGTGGCAGGAGGATGTTGTGTAAAAATAAATCTAAAACATACATACATATATATATATACACACACTTATTCATATATACATATATATTTTATATATACATATATCTATATAGAGAGTTTTATTTATATACATATATATTTTATATATACATACATTATATATATACATATATACATATATATACATATATACATATATATATATACATATATACATATATACATATATATATATATACATATATATATATAAAAATATATATAAAAGCACCAGCTAGGCTCTCATTTTGCAGTGCATGCAGGCTCAGAGCGGGGACCACTAGGGAGCAGCAGACACCGCTGTCACAGAGAGCAGCAGAGCAAGGAAAAACTGGATCTGCCCAAGCACCCAGATCCCGGCAGAGGATCACAATCCAAGTTAACTGACTGTGCAGAAGAAAGGAACGAACATCATTCCAGTGCTACACCTGCCTGCTCTCATCTCAGCGGGCTTTTTTTTGTTTTGTTTTTTCCTGAAAGGCAGCTTTCAGAAGCATTTCTGAACCACCAGAACGCAGACCAGAGGAAGGATAGACAGGCAAGAGCTGAAGTCAAAGAAGGGCTTCCTCCTCTCCCAAAACACACAGGCTGGTGCTCTTTGCCCAATTCCCAGGCAAGAGCAGTAGCAGAACTGGCTTGTCTTGATGTTGTGCAGCAAAGCAGAGTTTAGGGGAGGTTTTTGGGTGGGGAGAGGCATGCTGGAAATCCAGAAATGCAGGTTAGACCCCGCAGACCCTGCAGCAATGTAAAGGGACCTTGAGGAAGATTGCTGCACGGATCACCCTCAGAGCTGAGGAGCACAGAGAGCTGCCTGCTTCCTCCTGCCTGGCTGGGGACTGCATGAAATCCACACCACTCCTGCTTTCCCAAGGTCAGAGACAAGTTGTTAGCATACCTAGAGCTCTGCCAGAGGCAGGAGGATGCAGGCTGATGTGCTGTGCCTTTCCAGCCTGTGTGCCCTGGCCCTGTTCCCAGCTGCAAAGCTGGAGGTTAAGCAATGCTAAGCAGAGACAGGAGCTTGACACTGTCCAGCTGCACCCCTGGGAACAGCTGGAAGCTGTTGAGTGCCACACAAACCCACAAACGCCACAGCTGGAGCAGCTGGACAAGCAGAGCACAGGCTGCCTGCTCCTGTCTCTTGAGGGTGTGATTGCACCCTTTGTGGTTAAATCCTGGCAAAGCACACAGCTGGGATCTCTCCACTGAGCCCCAAAGAGGAGCAACAGTGGGATCCAAGTTCAGGAGAGTGCAGGGCAAACATCTTGGCTATTTCTCCTGGGGTTTTGTATCCCATAGACACACACAGCCCAGCACAGCAAGTGCTAGCACGGGTGCCAGCCTGCAGTGTCAGAGCTCCAGAGAGGAAAGATGAAGGATGGAGAGCCTGGGCAAAGGGGGAGCACTTCCCCCAGGGTTCATGCATGCCCTGGAGAGTGGCAGATAGAAGCAGCCTGTCTGACAGTTATGTCCCAGCCACCCTGAGCCTGGTTTTTCCTGCCTGGTTATCATTCCAGCTGCAGGGGAGTGATACTGGGAAAGTCACCCCACGGGATGGAGGGCATTCAGCTGCTCCCCAGGGAGTGCAGAGCTCTGCAGGGAATGTGGACAAAACGCATTTCCAAGCAAAACACCTTCAGAAGCCGGGAATTTTAATATTTGGGAAACTACAGCCAATGTAAACCAATGCTTTTAGTCTATCCCACTGCTTCAACACTTATCCAGCCTCTGGAGGCAACAGCAACGGGCCCTCCCCAGCTGAATTCGTCATGCTAAAGGAAATGATGTTTATCTGCCCCAAATTCACATGCCTGGGAGTGAGAGACCAACAGCAACACCAGAGGGTGATTCACAGCACATTTCCATGGAGCCCTGCCTCACCCAAAGCGCTGTCTCTGCTCTGGGGTCAGCCTGTGGAAGCGTTCAAAGGTCACGGTGCTAAATGCTCGCTGGTGACACGGCAGCCACCCGCCCTGCCCGCCTGCTGCTCCCTCCCTTGCTGCCCCCTTTGCTGTTTGCACCAACGGCAGCACACTCACCCTTCCCTCCCCAGCCCCTCCTAAGGTTAGTCATCCTCCTGCCCAGCCTCAAGCCCACGTTTCTGCCACACCTACAGAAAAAACCTTCTCTTGAGGCGCACGTAACCAGAGTAGATTCTTGCATTGCAGGGTCACTGCAGGCCAGCTGCACATAGAATCACTGACTGGTTTGTGTGGGAAGGGACTTAAACACCATCCACTTCCACGGGCAGGGACACCTTCCACTATCCCAGGTTGCTCCAAGCCCCATCCAACCTGGCTTTGCACATTTCCAGGGAGGAGGTAGCCACAGCAAGTTACAAGCATTTAAAATGGAAATAAAAATGCTGTCCTAACCCTGTGTTCTGCAGACAGTGTTTCACTGAGAAAGGCAGGCCATTTCAAAAACACAAAGGGAAAGTTTGCATGGAAAAAGCAGAATCCTGGCTCTGCTCCTTCCTCCACTCATTCTCTCATTATCCTTCTACTTCCAGCATGACAAGACTGGTCAGGCACACAAAATCTTACAGCTCTCCCCAGAAAGAACAAACCAGAAAAAACAAGACACAAGAAACCCAAAAGGCTGTTCATAACAGGCTAACAACTGCTCTCCACATTCCAAATCCATTAGAGAAAACAAACCCTTCCCTTAAGACCACCTTTTCAACCATTTGGAAAACTGCTTGGCACAGAACTCTAACAAAGAGTGAATTCCAACTCAACTGCTTCCATGAGAAGTGGCACTGACACCAACCAGCCTGTGCTTTTCCAAGCACTGCCTGACAACACCTGGCCAGGACAAACACTGTGCACACAGAGACTGCTCCCTGCCCCTGAAACAAGGTGAGGCCAAGGCACATATTGCTACCAACAAACAAATTCCTGTTGCAACTCAACAGGAGCCACCGGATAACCACAGCAAAACAATTAGAAAAAGCAGGTGTACTTACAGAGAGAAGTGTGGCCACGGCAGGAGGAGCCCTGTCACCTCTGGAGCCACACTGTCCCCCCAGGCCCCTCTGCTGCCTGGGGCTCCCACAAGCAGCAGGAATCATTCGAGCTAATCAGAAGACAGGTTACTGACATTTTAGCCTCAGAGTCCTTTCCTGGAGGCTTCTGCCATGCTTTCTCAAATGTTTTAGTAAAATCACTAAATCACTGCTGCTTTCAGAGGCACAGGAGTACCCTTTCATTTCTGCCCTGCTGCTCTCTCCCCTCTTTGTAGCAAAGCTTTTCAGCACATGCCAATCCCTGAAGTCAGAAAGTAGTTTAACATTAAATTTGTGCCCAAGGAGCCAAAAACCCCAGGATTAACAGGCTTTACTTTCCTTTCATTCTGCTTCCACACTTGCAGTGACCCATTTTACACAGCCCTGAGGGCTGAAGGGGCTCTGCAGCCAGACTTTTTTGAGTTGTTCCTATTTGCACACAAAAGATGCAGCTCCAAGCTTGTTTTTAACTGTTACAAACAGGATGCACACTGCAAAAGAGGGGGTTCCTCACTATTCCAGCCACTTTGGGGCAGTTCCCCAGGACAGATGCAGCCAGAAACAGAGTTCAGAAATATCATTACAACTCTCAGTAGGCACTGAGAAAGAGTCAACCTGCCCTTATTCACACCTAAAGAAAGCTGTAGCAGGCTTTCGCTAGGAAAAGCCCTCCCACAGGATTAGCCCCATTGACAGCCCCCCTCTCCATCAGGCCTGGGCCACATCTCCCTCACCCACAGCGCCATAAATACCCCAGATAAACACAATGCCTTGGTTTAAAACAAATCCCCTGACAGGCTGCACGTAGAGGCTTGTCAAGCCTCCAGCACCCTGCAGGCTGCACTTGGAAACCTCTGTCCCAGATGATTTATCTGGCAGGGAGGTTCCTTTTCCCCAGGAGGGCATGGAAATGCTCTCACAAGGTTCAAAGAAGCCATCACGCTCAGGTACCCTTCCAAATGTGTTTGGAATAGTTTATTTCCAGGCCTTTAATGATAAAATCCTACACTCAGAGAATCTATCTTTCTCTGCCTTTAGTGAGGCATAGGAGATGGTTTCTCCTAATCCCCCATTCCCTGGAAATCATGCTCCAGCCCAGATCCTCCTCCCTGCACGTACAACCAGCACTGCCAGTCAGCTCTAAAAATGCTCGTGACTAGAGATAAAATGGTCAGAGATCCCCCATCTCACACTCTGTGATCTTTCCTTCTGTCTTGTCTGCTCAAAACTTTCTGTTAAGACACAAGGTCTGGCCAATTACTCCTGGCTCAATCTACAGCAGGGTATTTCCACTTCTGAAATGGAAATCAAGACACAGGCCCAAGCGACAAGTGCAGATTTGAATTTCAGACTTCCTGAAGTTCAGGAGCATTCTGACTTCGTTTTCATTTCACAGGAAGGCAGGACAGCTTTGCTTGCTTGTTTCCAAAAACCTGGTACTAAAGAGAACTTGCTCAAGCTACCATTTGTGAAACTCAGGTGCTGATTAGGTATTTTACATCCAAAGCCTTCCCTTTGGGATAAGGGAAGATGTGCAAGACATGAATTTTGGAGCTCATAAATCTCTTCAGAAAGTAGAGCTAGGTGGAGTGTGCAGTGACTGGAAGCATCACCCTCTCTGCACACAGCAGGAAAAGTGGTGCTCCAGTCTGGCCATCCAAACAGCCTCCCTAAATGCCCTCTGCTGGGAACTTCATCAGTCTTACCTGAGCAGCACTTATCAAGGAATCCCATACCTGCAGGCATCTTGTTGGAGGAGCAATCCCTGCTCCAAGTGCAACTGCACAACTGGACCCCAGTCCAGGTAACTGGTGGAGGTGACAGGTGACCTGCCAGCCTGGACGAGGTTTTTCCAGGATCCCAGGAGGTGGACTGGCAGCTGGAGCACAGAATGGATGGGGTCCACACTAAAGATTTAGTGTGAATGTGTTAAAAGATCTGTGGCAAAAGCCTGCCTGTGTAGTTCCCTACCTCAGCCTTTCCAGAAAAAGTGAATCCTGCTATCCCTGAGTGACACAACAACAGAAGGACTAACCCAGCCCTTCCCTGTTCCACAGCCAAGGCGACAGCCCCAGACTGAGCCTGGCAAATGACCAGGCCCAGCTTGGCATGCAGGTGTGAGGGGATTTCCAAGCTGGTGGGAAAGCAGCTTCATCGAGCTGGGTGAATTTCCATGGCAGACACACACTTCTCTCGAGGCAGGGACAAGAGGAAGGACACAAAGTGCATGCTGATGTCAGCCACTTCAAAAAGGACTTTGATCCTCAGGGCTGAGGACCCAACACCCCCAAGAAGCAAGACATTTCACAAAGCATTTTATCTGCCTTTATGTAACAAGGCACTCAGGGCATCAGTGGAGGGGTGACAGAGCACTGTCACCTACAATTGCCTATTCAAATAAGTTGTTCCCTGCTGTCAAAAGATACAAACTGATCCCGGAGCAGCAATATCGAGCCATGGCCAGTGCAGACTGAAACGCCCCACACGCTGCAGCATCTGAAAGATGGGCCTGGAAGGATCTGAAGGAAGAGTAACATAAAAGCTTTGACCCCAGCGAAGCAGAAAATGATTTATGAGCAGAGCCAGCAGGGCTCCCAGCCTCTGAGGAGGCAAGGCTTTATAGGCAGAGTGCAGCCCTGTGACTCCAGGTGGACCTTTTGTTCAGGGATGAATCCCAAGGGCAGACAGAAGGCAAGGCTTCCATGGCAACTGTGGGCAAGGCTGTTAAACATAGTAAGGCAGTCAGTGAATTCTGCACCAAGTCTCTCCCCAACAAGTGTGGCAGTACTGCACATTTCCAGATGAACACCACTAAAATGTACCTCGATACAGCCTAAATAGGACTTTATTTGGCAGTCAAGCAAGCCTTCAGCTGCTTCCCACTGAAATCCAAAGCATCCCAATCTCTTACATTGAGAATTACACACCAGTTACAGCTGCAACAGCTGCCCAGCACTCAGCTAACTATGGAAAAAGCACAGGACACGTCCTATGACTGTGCCCTCCTCACTGCCTGGCACAGTAAGTGCACAGGTTTTTCCCACTGGAGCAGAAATCCGTGTTTTCACAGGCACTAGGAGCCACAGAGCGCCCCTGCACATGGATCAGAGGAGAACACATCACCACCTGCTTGGGGTTAAAGAAAACATGCTGAAAACAGGGAATCAGACAGTGCAGGAGTGAATCCCAGCCTGGGCTTGTAAGAATACTCCACCAGCTATTCCAGGGCCAGTTGGAGGCTGTGGAGGTCACCACTCCAAGTGCACATCCTGGGACCAGAAAAAAACCCAAATTCCTTCAAGGAGGTCCTGTTTAATTTCTCAGCTCACGCTGCATTTACAGCACTCAGTGTGGCCCTTTCCTGATTGCCCAGGCAGGATAAAAGCAGCAGGATTACATTCAAGGGAGCAATAAAAGCTGAGGAAAGCACAAGGCACCACACAGATAACCTGCAGATGCACTGTGCCCGTATCTTGGGCAAGGAGCTGGCACAGACACCACAGCCACCTTCAGATCATCTGTGGCACAAACCCTCAGACCGCTGGCCTTGGCTTCTGTCATCCTGCCAGGAGAGAGACAGGGATTACCTCCGGTGCTTTTGCTCCCTACCAGTTAATAATTGAGCTCTGGATGTCAAAGGCTTCCTAAATCCCTGACTCAGCCACGGCACATGACAGGCCCACTATTTAGACTAGTGGTCTAAACAGACATGTTTTCCAAAGTTCCTTGGAGACTCTGGATTATAACCTGCACTCTTACCTTTGAAACAATTGACCCCCAGCCACACAAAATTCTTGCAGAACAAGCCTACAGGCCCTTGCAAAGCCAACAGTCAGCAAACCCTGCTTCCCCACAGGCCCTCACACATCCCTCCTTTCCACAACAGCTCTGCCATTCCCTGGTTGAAGCTGATTTATCCTTGACAACTGAGCACTACAGCAAGGAGCTATTCCTGGATTTGTTCTACAAAGGGAACAAAGGAAGCAAGAGGCTCAGGAATACACAGAAGGTCAAGGAGGAAGTGGGGAACAGAAGAAGGATCTGCCTTTGTCTCCCTAGGCCTATTGTCATCATATTGCAAAAGTCCCACACCTTCTCTGTGGTTTCTCACAGACAGCTCCTGGCAGCACTGGCTCCTCCTGCACAGCACAGCCAACCGACTCCAACTCTCCCCTCACCCAGCTAAGCCACCCTTTTGTAGCACCCATCTTCTGATTGGACACAGCTGTGGCCTGTTAAGGGCAGGCCTGTTCTGATCTTTGGGGATTGGTACAGCTGCAACTCCTCTGGGTGAGACTACCTTCTGCACGATCTTTATTTTCTTACATTCTATCCCTCCACATAGGCCCAGGACCTAAATTTCCCCAGATCACAGGCTACTCTTCTCCTTCTTGACTTCACTGGGGGGAAACAAAGCCAGTGCTGAGCACTCCAGAAATCCCATCACAAACGTTTCCTCCATTTAGGAGTTTAACAGTGTTCACGTCCCTGATGAACCACCTACTTGCCATGGCCAAAAAAAAACACAAAAACCCACCAGCACTCTTTGAAGGAGAAATTAAACGCTTCATTAATGCAAAAATGGTTGAGATTGCAAATCAGAACCAGAATGTACAGGTCTAGAGGCAAGAGCGCTAATAATTCATGAGCGAAATGCTATGTTTATGCAACATTAAGGATGAGATTTTAATTGCTTATTACTCTAATTGATTTCATTCAGTTGTTATGGCAACTTTCTGCTTTCAGGAGATGCACTACACCAGCCACAGGCTTACACCACAAAGCGTAGCCATGTGACACCCCACAGCTGCAACATGTATTTTAAGATAAATAACACTATATATGTGCCAAGCATTTACTGATTCCCATTTTGCTGAGCTCCAAAGCCCTGACAGCCAAGTGGGATCGCAAGAATAACTCACTCACCTGTTAGTCCAAGCAAAGAGATGGCCTAGAGAGAGCCAAAGAGAGCTCTTTAGTGCATGCTGCTCTAAATTCAGAGTGCTCTAAGCTCTGGCAGGAATATCCTCCTTATTCCATCAGGGAAAAAAAAAGGGGAGCTATTAAGGACCAGGGTCTGAATGCACTGATTTATTCTGAACACTTTATTGCTGAGTGTCACTTGTCATATGTCATCAAGTGGTGGGGAAGTCAAGTTTCCTGTTTAAAAGGCCATTGTTATAATTACTTAATTATGCAATGACAACTCACCAGGAACAGAGGTGCTTCCACTGCAGATCCCTTGTGGCCCAGTCCAGCTGGAGGAGAGCAGCAGGATGACATTTCAAGATGCTCTCAGAAACCTGTGTGAGCTTTCAGCATTATGCTTCCAATAGGTTCAGCAGCACAGGAAGCAACATCCCAGGAAGTGGACACGGGCAGGAGCTGTTTCAGGGGATGGCTTCCCCACAAAAGCATTGCCTTTGAGGCCTCTCAGCCCTCACCCAAACCATTCTTACTGACAGAGCAGTTATGAAAATGAGCAGGCATTTAAACCCCCGTGACCACAAGCCCTGCACACCTCTGCTATTACAAACAAGCCAACCACCAAAATCCCCGCTCTCTGGGGGAAGCCACAGCTGGAATAACCCTTAACCCCTGGCAGGAGCTCTGGATGTGCCAATGAGCACGGGATACCTCACGCTGAGGTGACATTTCCATCCAGTGCTGTGCAGTCTCCCCTTACTCTTGCCACAACTCCTGGGAAAGCTGGAACCCAGCTGTGGGATCACACACCCTGCACAGCACAAAAATAAATAAAAAAAAAAAAAGCCAAAAGCTTCAAGGAACCGACTGCCACAGCAGGTAACAAACAGAGCACTTGGTTTATTTTTGTTCTCAACTGAAACAAGACTCAGTAGGTTCCTTACCCAAGCACTCCTGAAGTGAGCAGAGACTTGCAGCAAGAAGTCTTCAGAGGTACATGATTTGTATCATACAGAGTACACAATAAATTACTATCTACATGCCACAGACCTACAAAAAGTTACATACAATGTAAAAAAATACAGTATTTTCTGCTCTTTTTTTGTTTTAAATTTTTTTTCTGTACATTTTTTTAATTTACATTTTCATATACACTTTTTGTAAACTTTTGTGTGTTTTTAGAAAACTGAAACCACATAACAGTTATGGACTTACAGCATCACTCTTACCTTTCTAAAGCAACGCTGGCACCTAGGAAACAGCTTTTAGCTTGTTTGCTCCTTCATTTCTACTTTGGCACCACCACACCTCACACCGTTACTCTGAGCTACTTTAGTCTGCTTTAGCCATGTCCTCACCAGGGAGAAACACAATTAGACTGGAACTTGTGCTTTGATAACAAAGTTGAGAAGAAAAACCATTACATTAACTACTTCACCACCACATTTACCTGATATTTTACTGCGTAATTTCCACTTCTCCTGCACTAACTGCTTCACATCAGCATGCAAACAAGTCTGATTATGACTCAATCAATAACATGAATATACTGAAAAACAACTACAAGGGTTAAATATTCAAAGGAATGTAGACTTAGCAAGGCTTACCAAGTTAAGAAGTCTAAGCTAATAGCATGGATTGACATGTCAGGATTTGAAACACACTGAAGTATACTATGTGAATTTCAGTGTAAAAACATCCGTACTAAAGAAAACATGGAATTACTCCTGGCCACACAATTTATACTACCTCAAAGTGAAAACTATATTGACTAGAAACCTCCTGCTTACCACACATACTCCTGGTGTGAAATAGGGATCCCTGAAGTTTATAAAAGCCAAGCTTCAAAAATTGCTACTTGGAGCACACAACTCAAGACCCTGCTGAAAAGGAAAAGCAGTTTCAGTGTTGGGCCCACTGGAGAGTAAACCATTCCAGCCTGGCACTATGTACACACATACATGCTCCACGTAACCCACCCAGCCACTTGGATCTAACCCCAGGACACCACTCCCAGGAGTGGAGGTGCCCTCGAGAGGGACTGCAGTCCAATCTCCTGCTCCAAGCAGGGTCAACACTGAAATCAAGCCAAGCTTGGGATTCTGTCAGGCGGAATCCCGAGAACATCCCAGGACAACACAGTTCCTCTTGGGCCCCTCCCTTGCTTGCCTGAACCCATGGAGCAAGTTTCTTCCATCAACCAAGTGCTTCCCATTTAACCTTCAGGAAAGCTTCTCACTCTTGCTCCATGCTTCTCACACAAGACCCTGACATCTACTCAGGTGTTGAGCTGCTGAGGGTTTTGGACCACCAGGTACAGAACTACATTCATGGCTGTTGACAACAGAACTGTACAACAACTTTTTTTCTTTTTTTGCTGATCTGGGGACCTGAATTATTTTTTTTTTTAATTCCTTAAAATTACAACAACAAAAAACCAAGGCAGGCATTCAAAGCATTGATATACCACAGCAAGTTTTGCCTTAATACAGTTTACAGATCACCACCTCATTTATTATTGCCAAAAGACTCTATGGTGCATTCAACACTTCAGCCTAATACAATCCAGACTCAGTGCTAAGAGCGACAGCTGAGAGTTTGCCACTTGGGTTTAGGTTTGAGTTCAAAGAAGAAGGTGCCTTCCAGATCACTCGGAGGAGAGCTGCTAAGGCTTTCTTCCCCGCTGCTCATGTCTTCACAGGAGTCTTCACTAGAAGGAACAGTGGGAAAGGTAATTTTAACAAAGCGCAGCCCCTGCAAAGTGGCTGTGAAGTCAAAGCACTCCTCAATCCCGGCGTTTCTTGCACGCTTTGTGTTGCTAGCGGCAACATCCCGCATCTAAATAAATGCTGCTGAGCCTAAAGCTCCTTAGGGCTCCTAAAGCTGAAATCCTAACAAGGCACAATCCTCCTGATGCCAACAACACCCTACCGATCAAGCAGCCAGCATCAATTCCTTCTGGGGACTGAAAACCTTTGCAAGCCTTCCTGAAACCCAACAGTGCCTCCCCTACCCGGCCAAGAAGCTCTGAACAATGACAGCTCCCCCTTCTCTCCAGGTGCTGAAGGCATATTCCAAGCCCAGCAATATCGTCAGAGCCAGCACTTTGTTATTTCCCAAGCAGCAGCAATTAGTTCCTCTATAGTTATATAGAGGAAAAGGAGAATTCCCCACAAATGAAGCAGCCAAGAGCTACCCACCTCTCACTTCCATTGAAACATGCACCCTCTGGGATCGTTGGCAGCTCAGGAACGCTGTAGTAACTGTTCTGTAGGTTTTGGGCTGTGCGCCTCGAAACAATCCAAACCAGTTTTTTGTGATCAGGCTTGCAGCATTCAGGAGAAGAATAATCTGCCAGGCATTTAGAGACCAGCTCCCTCCAGTAAAGTAGGTCACTATCACTTATCTGAAAATAAAAACCCAGAGGTTAGTTAGCCCATAACATATAGGCTCTAAGGATAACTCCTGCCTCCATTTTACCTTCTTGGGAAAAAATATCAGTCAAACAGAAGCGAGTCGTAACTGTGATACCTTTGTCAAAGTTGCTTTTAAAGGTGAGCTACCAACTCCTACACACCTGCCAGACAAGGCCCTGTTCAAGGTGGAGTTAGGCTGACAGTTTGCCTGTCAGTCCTTGTTACCATTATCTTTATTGCTTCCAAAGGAAAAATGAAACAAAGGTTATTCTATTTTAAAATGGAATAAAACTTTTTTAAAATTCCATTTTCAAATCAAAGTGAAGTTGTTTAAACTGCTTTAAAACAGAAGGAAAACCTTTAAACCATCATTTTAAAATGGAATAATATAGCACTTTAAGGAACTACTTGTATCCCTTAAGAAACTGGGGTTGTTCCATCTGACTGCAAGAGTGAAAAGCTGCTTCTAGGCCATCGAGGGAGGCAGCACACAGCTAGAGGCCATGAATCCCATTTTAGTTCGTGGGATATCCTGAGCTACAAGAGATCCACAAGCATCATGGAGTTCAACTCCTGGCCCTGCACAGGACAAACCCACCGATTCCACCCTGTACCCAAGGGCACTGTCCAAATGCTCCTTGAGCTGTGCCAGGCTCACACTGTGCCCATTCCCTGGGGGGGAAACCTGTTCAGTGCCTGACCTCCATCCAGGGAGAAAACCCTCAGGTGATGGTGATGATAATAATAATAATAATAATAATACCACCAGGTTTAATTATTCACGCAAAAAGAATAAGCAGCCCAGCAGTCCCAGAACAGACTGGAAGTTTCCCCAGACCACACAGCCAGAGCTGTAGAAGTTCCATCAGCTGCCTGTTAAAGCATGCATTGAATACACACTGAGTCAGCAGTTCCTCTGATTTTATACATTTAAGCTTATTTTTTAATTGCTTCTTTCAGCCAAACAGACCCTGTAAAGACACATTTAGGGATGCATTTAAGGGACCCTAAATGTAACATCAGCCATGGTTAACAATGTCAGCCCAAACAACCCACTGAGAACACTCACCTTCGAATGCTTTTGAACACGCAGAAGGATCTCCAAGAGCTCAACAGATTTCAGAGTCTGAACTTCCAGAGTGAGAAGGCACAAGGCCAGGACAGATGGCTGAAAGGACCAGGAAACAGCACTCAGCACCACAGCCACCACAAACCCACTCAGCAGCTACAAGCAACTGCTTCTACTCACTTTTGCTTTAGAGAACACCAGACGGCAGTTGCAAGCTTTTAGCTGTGCTTCCAACTTGTCCAGATTCAACACTTCTTTCCTGTGAGACATCCAAGAGAAGAAGGAAGGGTCTGCATGAACAAGCATTCCCTCACCAGGAAGCAAGAACTGAGGAGCTGCCTCCTCTACAGCCAAGGCTGCAATCATCTCAGAGGGGATTAACAGGGGCTCAGCAAACACCACCAGCTCACCTTTCTGAGGTATGACAGAGTACAATAGTATGGTACAAGTGCAAGAAGGTTAAGGCAGTAGTAGCTTTAAATTCAAAGTGCAACTTTTCTGAAATTATCTTTTCCATCCGTTTCAGGTCGGACACAGTGCATTTACATTGGCTGATGCGGATGATCTCGTGAGCAGACGGGATGTTGCATTCCTCCTCCACCACACGGGCGGCCAGCTGCATGCAGCAAACTCCAATGCAAGACAAATGCTTGGGTTTCACCTGAAAAATCACAGGAAGAGCCATGAGTGCATCACCAAGTGTGTTTGGAATCATCTCCACCAAACCCGGTGCTGGCCAGCTCCTGCTCCTGCCCCAGCCATAAGCAGTGTCCCCTCACTTGAGCTGGAGCAAACGCCACTGGGGCTGAGCAAGTCAAGTCCCACAGCTGAGCAGCCTCTCCTCAGGCTGTTCCCCACCGGGACACAGATACATCGCGGTGGGAACTGCAATTCCCTGCTCCTCCGAGCGGCAGTGCTCGCCCGGCCCACACAAATCCAGTCTGAGCCTGTTGTGGGCAGCCCTATCCCTCCACAGCTCGTTCCTGCCCCTGCTCTCCTCTCCCCTCTCCCGTTGTACATTCCGTGCCACTTCAAGGCCAGTCCGACCAGAGAAGTGATGCAACTTCGTTTGCTCTGCTGATCTAATAATGAGGAACTGCTTTCAGTCCAAGCTTCCTGCCTTAAAGCAGCACAACCACGCAGGAAATGATCACTTGGTGTCGGTCCCAAGGCTAAGCTAAGCTTTAGTTCAGTGCCCAGAGACAGCCTCTAACACTTCCTGGCTTGTTTCCCTAAATTCCTCCTGTCTCAGACACCTGCATGGTGATGGTACAGAGTTATTCAAGGAAGTA